TCTCTGTTAATTTACATAGAATTTCGTCCGTAGACTGTGTTAGCTTGGCCTAATCACTTGGAAAATCTAATAGGGGTTATTAAAAGCATTAAGCTTTCTGTAGTAGTGATAGGTGAAGCTGAGTCAGAATAAACACATAAACTTTCTTTTTTCACTTTATAGAGAAGTGTGCAAAATTTAAAGTTCAATCTTTAATATTTTAAAATTGAACCTATTGTATTTTTAAACTTGTCGATGAACTTTTATCCATAAATTTTTGTACGCGTTAAAAATACTGGGTTTAGATAAACACGGCGTCGCTACTCTATACTACTCTATATCCGCCCCTGCTTTCAAGTTGCATGAAGGCAATGATTCAAGTAGAGATATTGGTATGCAAGAACTGGCTTTTGAAGGGACTTGTTGGTATTGTGAAAAACTATGTTGAAATTTATGAATTTTTAGAGGATTCGACACTGGTGCGATAATATTTTGGAGAATTCGAGCAAACACAAGTCCATTGCTGCAACAGTCTACATGTTGGAGTCCTTGCACCATGGATTTGGATGGGAGAATCCGGATTTTAGGGTGGCATGATAACTCGGTCAAGACCGTGTGTTTGGTATGACGAAAAATACTTATTTTCTGATGTTTGGTGGCCAGAAAATATTTACAAGGACGACATTTTCCACTAACAGATGGTATCTTCATTGCTTTGTACTAACTAAAGGTAAAGGACCTAAGTTACTAATTTTCAGGAAGCTCAACAAATGGTATGGTAACTTAAGAATCTTAAGTGCACTAAACTACATATAGGACGGCAAAGATCTTATACCCCTATCTTGGGAGGTAAGGAGGTTATTTCTGAAAGATGCTTGGCGGGGATAAGAACAAGGAAATAACAAAAACAAGGTCATGAAAATGGTACCAGCAATGTATGAACCGGGGAAAAAAAGCAAATGGAAGAAAGCAATAGCAAGAAGCAGTAACACGACAGAGTACTAGAAAAAAGAAGCGAAAGATAGTACTAAAAAATAACTCTAATACTAACACTCTAAGAGTCGAAGACAATGCACTAGTCAACTAGTCCTAATAAACCTAGAACAGATCAGAAAAACATACTACGACCTATTACTCTTCAACCCTAGTCTTCGACCTCCATATCTTCCTGTCAAGTATAATTCTAAAATATTCAAGTGACAACTACATTCTAAAAATATAATCCTTTTTTCACTACACGTGGACCTATACCCCCAAAAAATAAATCTAGCATATATAGACTTTTTTGTTTGGGATTGAGGCGTAGTTGTTATTTATATAGGCCCTTTTTACAAAACAATTTAAATAGAAAATATCGAATACGTTGGAATCAAGGTGATTGTTTTTCAAGTGATTATGTACTTGAGTACGTTTATTTTTATTAATTTATGGTGAATATCATATCATAGTCAATATCAAAGTGTTGGATGTAGCAGACAACACCATCAATATCTCCAAAATTATCTTATATAAATTATATTACAAGTGTTGAATATAGCAGACAATATCATCAAAATCTCCAAAACTTTCTCCTTAAAAATGTAGCATCTGTTGGGAAAACTGTTAGGCTTGCCTTTCAATACTTTCAAGATTTGAGTAAAGGCCAGCACGGCTTTAAAACGTGTCACGAGAATATAAGGCATATCTCTTATATACTCAGCATCTCTCCTGTGTTTTGTCGATGTGGGATTCACCTAAGCTGTACACAATAGAATCAACTGAAATGGACTTGGACTTGTTTGCCTCCGGCCTCGGGAAGGATCAAGTAGTAGAAGAAGAACAACAACAACAACAAGACGAGTTGCAACTCCTTGTAGATTTTGTTAGTCTTGATGATTGGGATTTTGATGTTGTCCCTTTACAACATCAGTCTAATGTGGAGAAAACTTTCCAAACGAAGAAATCGTATGAGATTACTGAATCAAAAAAGAGTATGGAAACTCCATTGCCTTCAGCACTCAAGATCTTGAAAGATTATAACAACAGGTTCAGAAGATCAAAGGCAGAAAACAATATTATTAGTATGCAAACAGATAAGAGTAAATGTAAGTTATCTACCGATGAAATCCTTCGTTTGGGTGCTGAAAAGTTCATCCAATCATTTACTATAAGTCGCGAAGAAGCATACATGTTTAGCCATCCATTTGCTAGCTCATTTCTTAGCCTTTCTGAGGATGACACTAGAAATATAGCACTCGTCGAATACCTTCTAGCTTCTGCTGAGAAAGTAGGGCAGAAGGAGTTTGATCGTGCACAAAACCTTCTTAATGAGTGTGACAAGTCATGTTCCAAGAAAGGAAATCCGATACAGAGATTGGTATACTATTTTTGTCGAGCACTTCATGACAGAATTAACTGGGAAACGGGAAGAGGTACCTCGAAAGGAATTGGAATGAAACGATTAGCTTATATAGAGGATTCGTTAATGAACTTAAACTCCTCTATGATTGCAGCACATCAAAGTGTACCTCTAAGTCAGGTGACTCAGTTTGCCGGTGTTCAAGCCATCATCGATCATGTAGTAGAATCCGAAAAGGTTCATATAATAGATCTTGAGATTGGTAGTGGGATGCAATGGACAATATTGATGCAAGCTCTTGCCACAAATCAATGTGAATCATCATTTAAACATCTCAAGTTAACTGCTTTATGTACCAAATTAAGGCATAAAATTGAGGATACATGTGAGCGATTAATGAGCTTCGCGAAGTCCTTGAACTTGTCCTTTTCTTTCAACATTGTAATGGTTGAAGATATCATGGAACTAAAGCAAGAATATTTTGAGCTAGATGATGAGGAAGCTGTTGTTATCTTCGCGCAATACTTCCTCATGAGAATGTTAGCGCGACCAGATAAATTGGACGCGTTGATGAGAGTGATCAAAGGTATTAATCCTCGAGCAATGATCGTTATAGAAGTGGAAGCAAACCATAATTCACCTGTATTCGTAGACCGGTTTGTGGAAGCTCTATTCTTCTACGGTGCATTTTTTGACGCGTTAGAGGATTGTATGAAGCACGACGAAAAAAGCAGGACAGCTACAGAATCAGAACATTTGAACCAAGGAATAAGGATCATTGTGGCAGCTGAGGGTGAGGAAAGAACAATCAGACACGTGAAAATCGATGTCTGGAGGATGTTTTTCGCGCGATATGGTATGGAGGAAGTTGAGCTGAGCAAGTCTTCATTGTATCAGGCAAATCTGGTGCTAAAGAATTTTGCTTGTGGGAGTTCTTGCACTCTGGAAATGAACCAATATTGTCTGCTCATTGGATGGAAAGGTACCCCTCTCAGTTCACTTTCTGCTTGGACATTTTCTTGATATGTAATAAGCTGTTTAATGAATGTTATACTGTGTAAAAGAATTTGAACAACTCAAAACCTTAAGAGGTCGTTTGGTACATGGGATAAGGTAGGATAAAGTGTGGTACTAAATTTATACTATGTTTGGTTGACAGCGCAATAAATTTATGCCGTAAACCAAACATAATATATCAAGAACATGTATGGTGACACATTCTGTGAACTTGAGGCCAAGGCTTGACCCAAAAATGCCTAATATTTTTTGGAATTTAATCTTGTTTGCCACTAGTGAATGTTCAAAAATGAGTGAAATATTAGAGTTGTCTCACTTGGTGGGATAGTAAGATAAATGATTGAGAATGTCAATAGTGAAAACTTGTAGCTCTTGGAAGGAGATGGTGCAGTACTTGCTTATATTATGGAAATGGCATCAAATATTGGGAATTTATTCCCAAATTTTGACACGTATAAGTTCTCAAGCTGGTGTTGTTTTGGACTTTATGATGTTGATTTTGGATGAGGAAAGCTTATTTTGGTTGCTCCCTTTATTGACTCTGTTGCTTCATATTGTTCTTGTGGAGAATTGATTGAGTGGTGGAATTGAGGCATGGATTCTTAGAAACAATGAGGAAATGGTTGAGTTGGAGAATGATGAAGATTTTCTAGCATATGCATCTCCTAATCCTAGCGTTTATGTCCCTTTACTTTGTTCATGTTGAAAAATTCCTGGTAGGAAGCGTCTTATCCTTTACTTTGTTCATGTTAAAAAAATTCTTGGCAGAGAACGTCTTCTCCTTTATTGAGCCTACATGACACAAATTCTATATTTTTGATGTATCACTCAATATATATGTACCATTTCCTTAAAGCAGATTCTTATAAACAAAGTAGTTAAGTTTCCAATAATTTGTGCCTGATGGATCCTTTTAGAGAAATACTAGCTGGTTAAGAAATGTTATACTCTCTCCCGTTTACTTTTACTTGAAACGTTTTGACTTTTTACGTCCCTTAAGAATTAATAATAAATGAAGTACATAATTTACCATGATACCTATATTAATTGATACATATTTTATTGGATTTAAGAAAATAATTTGAAATGAGTAATAAATACTATGGGTATAACAGGAAAAAAAAAATTGTCTTCTCTTGATATGCGTAAAATGACTAAGTAAAAATGAAAATTTACTTTTAATATACATGCCAAGTAAAAGTGAACGGAGGGAGTGTTATTGTTATTATATGACATTTGGACAAATATTATTCTGCAAAAGTTATTGGAAAGTTTTCAAACAGTAAAAAGGAAAATTTTCTAACGAGCAATTTTATAATTAGGATAACTGTCAGTTTAAAATGTTCAGTTCAGTTTTCAAAATTCATTTTAGAATGTACCTTGAGGCTATCTTTGGCACCCATTCTATATACAGAGGCGCATTCTTTCCTTTCCTTTTTGCTACAGATCAACAAGTATTATATGTTTTCACAAGTCAACACAAGTATTATGCAGTTGCCCATTCACTGAGCTGTCAATCACAGCAAAAAGTCATTTGGCATGGACATACCTGGAGAAAGGATCAGTGTTGCAAAATGAACATATGAATTAATAGAGCTCCCTCCACCAGGAAGGCTCACGGAGAAAGTGAATGATATTTGCATTAAATCGGAATATGAAACTTCAATGATACACAAGAAACAGGGTAACTAAAATTCTTCAAAAAATGGGAACACCAAGATAATGTTCTAAAGCCAGAAACATTAGTATTACTCCACAGTTCAGCTATTCAGCGTAACAGCAGTTTTCACTTCTTTAAGAAAACGCGATAAGAGCTTGGTTAACAGAAACTTAGGGAGCATGCGAGTCTTTAGAATCTCGCTGAGTAATACCATGTGTTCCAATCCAACACAAGACAAGATTCATTACATTTTACATACACTAGATGATGAACAGTTGCAGTTTAGGTCAGAATCAGTTTTTTCAAATACGTCAATAACTAACACTGCACCCACCATAACTCTGAATGTGATCTCAATCTCTCCACCTGTGTCCACAATTCGGGTTGCAGCAAACAAAGAAGAGTGTCATACCTTCTTCTCCCCTTGCAGTTGCCTGCACATATATCAATTGTTTCAGACAACTGTAAAACAATATCCAGCAAATAGATATTGCATAACAAGCAAGCAAATAAAGGTCATTGCACCAAAAATCTCTATCAAGATAAGTGCCTTCATTTGATTGATCCAGAAAAAGATAGAGCCTTCATCTTCAGTCGTCATTTGTCTTCCAAATAAAGAAGTCAAACAGAAGCTCCTAAGTCCTAACATACCACAACCGAATGAGGTATGAGAAGCTAAAAGTAAAAGGTACTCAGATTGTTCCCTTCTATATTATTCAGGTAGCAGAACTGTAAATTCCAAGAAAAGGAGTACGATATCCTAACCCAATGAGTTTCAAGACTTTTTCCAAGCTTTTTAGGAAGGAAGGATTTATTGGACCAGAAAAGTTGGACGGTTTTGCTTGGGAACAGTGAAAATTTTCCAGAGGTGAGGACAACGAAATTTCTTGAGGCACATATCGACCAAGCTTCACCAATTGCAGGTCAACTTATCTGTGGCAACAAGTTGCTTTTCTACCACAATCAGGTTGTTTTCTTTTAAATATTCCAAAAGCGGACATCTCAAACAAGACATAACAGGATATAGGTCACGATTTGGATTGCCAATATCAGGCCTTCTGGGAATATCCAAAACCATTTATCTTCAGCATAGATTAGATAAAACTAATCCGCATAAGATCAAAAAGCAAATATGACGAGACAATAAGCTTTAAATTGACCAGCCACAGGAACCAGACTTCGGGCATATTTATAAATGTTAAAGCAGTCATAGCAACTATTGGTGGCTTAAATACTAAAGAAAGCACGGACAAAGGAAAATGACCTGGAAGAAAACTGCTTCTCCATGACCACATTGAGAACATCGAACAGATTTTGTACGAGGCAAAGTTGGATCTGCTGCTACATCCTGCAACACTTGTGTGCGCTCCGCAGCAGAATGATGTATCTCATTTCTATACACGCAATTGTTTTCAGCAGGCTCCTAAAAGAATATGAAAATGAGTTACATGGAACTCAAAAGCTTGCCTATGTTTCTAGCTCTTAGCAACTTAACTTTGACAGCTAGTATAAGCGGCGCTTAAAGGTAAAGAAAAGCAATTAAGACAAGCAAAGTAAAAGGAGCATTAGACAAGTTACTGATTACATGTATTTGTCAAAACACAGGTGATTTAAAAATTTCAATGTCTACAAGCCCTCATTCTTGGACAAAGGATTTCAAGGTTTTTTTTTTTAATGAGAAAGGGAATTCAAGTTCTGAACAAACAAAAATTTCCAGCAGAGTAAATAACGTGAAGGAGCAGAAGTACTATCAGATAGCTCCAATAAAATGACTAATTATTAATAATTGGATAGAGAAGTCTACCAGAATAAAAGACAGCTGAAGTGAAAGGTAATCTTTGTTTAGCTTAAAGAATGGATGGCATTCCATACGAGAAATTAAGAGATGGAATAAAATCACTAAGTGTTTCCTTGACCAGTTAACACTTGTTACTACTCCAAGCAGCTAAAAACTGCTAATATGGAGCAGCCATTATGCATCAATAGGAGAGAACAAGGAGTATCCCATCAAAGAAAGGGCCTATGCTGATAAAAGCATGGTAAATTAAGAAGCACAAAAGGGAGAAAAAACGGCTGCATATATTAGGTGTATCCATATAAATTGCCACCTTTTAAAGGAACATGATATGCAGGCTAGTAAAATATAGATTTATAACAATAATCGTGCTAAACTCATTTTGATGGCAGGACGCTGCAAGCTATTCAAGTCCAATCTGAATAAATGAGCTGATAAACTTGTTTGACAACATCCAGCACTAAGAGTCAAGATTCAGCCTTGACTTCATTCTTAGCTTTATGGGACCTGAATGATCTGATCTGCATGCCTTCTAGCTACACACACTCCCCCCCCCCAACACACACATACACAGAGATACAAATTTTATGTATATAAATCTACAAATAGATGTAGGACTAGACTATGTTACATGGATCTTCATTTTCCTTTTTTTTTTTTTTTTTATAAATTTTGATAAGCAGAAAGCTTTTTCTGAAGATGGATCTTCGTTTTGCTGGATTACCCATCTCCAACAGGTGTAATATAAATACGGGTGCTTTATGCAGTTTCTTCAATTACACCAAAATTGTCCGCACCAGATTCATACACACTGTATCAAATGGATAAACTAGTCCATGTAACATAAATATTAGGTACATCTAGTCAAAATATACAACTCAGATAATAGATAGCTTAGAGGTGACAGAAGAAGATATCATATTCAGCATACCTATCTGACAAGGGATCAGATGAAAAAGATTTAAAAAAGGAAAAAAGAAATTAAGAGCGCATAAAAAAAAATTGAAGTTTGGCTTTGGTGATTATATGATAGTTATGAGTTGATTCCTTTTTTCACTATGCTCTTTATGCCACTTAAGCTCTTATTGCTGAGAAATACAGTGAACATGCTGTTGCAAAACTCAGACTTGCAGAAAGGTTGAAGGCGCAAACACGTTAGTTACATAGGGGCTTCAACAAAATAGCTCAACCATAAAACTTAGAAAATCCAAGTACAAAAAGGAAAGTGCTAGGATGTTTGGTTTAATAGATGCACGGATAAGATCGATGTCATCAATGCAATAAATTTATTTCACACTTTGACACCTGAGATTCCTTAACGAGTAAAATAAGTTTGCAGGAGTATACTTTATTTTCAGGTTAAATGCACTACGAGATGTGAAACAATGCAACTAAACTTTTATACATCCAATAATCTAGAAACCTTTAGGAAACATATAAATAAAAAATAAACAATAAACTCAGCCCAGTGGTTGAGGCATTGAGAGTAACAACTTGAACATCCCAAATTCAAATGCCATCCATAACACAAACTTGGTGGACAAATATTACCTTCACAACCTGTGCTTTTACATTGAACAGGCTGCTCGGTAGATTAGTGCACTCGATCTGTCCCATACATTACCAATATAGTCTTAACAAAATGAAAAAGATAAAATTTGCCCTAAATATATTTGTTCAAAAGTTGATGGCCAGGGTACTCGCCATGACCACCTGAGATGGTAGAAGGTAGCAGGTACCTACTGAAGTACTCGAGGTGCGCGCAAACCGACCACCGTCACAAAAAAAGATACTTTTTCAGAAGTTAATAACTGTAATTGCAACAAAAGTTTCAATTCTTTCAGAAACAAATCCGCTCAGCTTCCACGCAATTTCTGCTAATTAGCCCAATTGCCAAAAGTAAACGCACCACATTTGGGTTTTCTTTGACTACCCTAAACCCTATTTATAGTACTATGCAACTATATCAAATTTCTGCAGAAAAAGCAAAAACAAAAATAAAAGTGAAAAAAAAAGGGTAAAACCTGATGATCACAATTACGGCAAGCATAAAGGAGGATCTTCTGCTCCTTGTCTTCTTTAGGATACAAAATATTGTTACTGCAAAGCCAATCCATGAAAAAAAAAGGTCACTTTTTTTATTGAAGTTAATAATAATTAATGTGAGAATAAATAAATGCAAAAATATTCAAACCATTCTCGGCAAAATTTCATAGTACTCATTTTCGCGAGTTTTTGTTTTGAATCGTTTAGCTTTTAGAGGGAAAATAGCGATTTGTTCTATACTCTGCTCTGCGTTTTGGGGGGGTCTAATGGAGGTTTAAGGAATATATTGGTTTTCTTTCCTTATATTATAGAAGAACCCCACGAACTATGGGAAACTACACTAAGGCCCCAACTTTGATTTCTCTGGAATCTTCTTCTTATAGCATGGGGAGTCCATGGGCTAAAAAAACTTTTTTCCAAAGTTAAGATATTTGGTCAAGCTTTTAGAAGGCAAAAAGTATTTTCGAGTAAAAGCATAAATTATTTTTGAGAAGCTGAAAAAAGTAATTTATTCCTAAAAGCACTTTTAAAAAAAATACTTTTAAGAATTACACTTAGAAATACTTTCTAACAGCTTGGTAACAAATATTAATTGTGGCACAAAAATGTTTTTTAAATTAAGTGGCTTAACACATATTGTTTTGAGAAAATTACTTTTTAACACAAAGCTATATAAGAAGTTTGGCCTAATAGGATATTAAATCATTTATTTCCTCCACGACTCTAATTTATATGAACCAGTTTGATTGGCTTTTGAAGAAAAAATAGTAAATTTTTTTGAAATTTGTAAGCATAAACTTGCGGGTACACTAGGCTGGATAATATTAGGAATGAAGATATCTGGGTGAGCGTGGACGTGGCTCCGGTGGGCGACAAGATGCGGGAAGCACGACTTAGATGGTTCGGGCACGTCCAGAGGAGAAGCCTATATGCCCCAGTTTAGAGGTGTGGGCAGTTGGCTGTGGCAGGTACGAGAAGAGGTATAAGGCGGCCTAAGAAGTATTGGGGCGACCGGTTTAGGTGATCAGACAGGACGTGACACGACTCCAGATTTTCGGGGACATGACTCTTGATAGGAAGGTGTGGAGGTCAAGCATTAGAGTTGTAGATTAAGGGGTAGTTAAGTGGTTTCCTCTTTGTCTCAGTTTTCCTCTTTGTACCGGCTAGTCTGATAGTATTTTGTCTAGCACTGTTGGCGATTTATGTTGTGTTTCACACTTTTGCATAGTATTTATGTTATTGCTTTTCCATTTATTTGATGTCTCTCATGTTGCTAATATTATTTTTCTTGTTTCTGTTGTCATAGATCTATTGTAGGGGTAAGGTATGTGTATACTATACCCTCAGCAGACCCCACTAGTGAGATTTTACTAAGTTGTTGTTGTTGTTGTAATCATAAACTTGCAATAATTTTTATGTGGCTATAAAATAAAAGGTTTAAATTAAATTATTTTAAATATATAAGTGTATTACTTTTTTAAACGAATCAATAAAGGGTAGTTCTATCTTTATACATGCTTATTTATGTATTAAAAATTACGGTATTGCTAATGACATGGTTTACTATGTATAAGAATAATACTGAATATGATGTATATATTAGTTATATAGATTGGAAAATACAATCAAACAAGGGATTAATAATACCAAAGCCAATACTTGTATTATTTTTTCTAATATATCCTACCAAACAAACCCATTTTATGCCACTTTTTCCTTTTTAATTAGTTCAAAGAGAATGACCTCTTAAATTATGTGATCAATCAAATACCTTCACATAAATTGGGATAAAAACAATATTAAATTGAGTTCTTCTATTGAAATTCACAATTATTTGTTTTCAGATCACAATTACCTTTCATAACACTACTTTACCATAATGACTAACTTTTCTTGATAACTAATTTTTTATATTATATTGTAATATATATTTTTTATAACAGTACCTCACTGTAGCTCCTAAAAAATATCGAAATAAAATAAGACTATTATAAAAAGATTTGCTCTTATTTGAATCGATAATAATCCAAACCAGCTCTACGTTTAATACCTTACTTTACTCTAGAAACATTTTCACCTGTCTTTTCAATTTTCGTGGTAAAAGGTTCGGTGAAATTTTATTTATTTTTAATTTATAATGTGGAATTGTAAGATTGGGCTTCTGTCAGTTAAGCCCAAGGCCTAAAATAGAAAATCCAGGCCTTTCATTTTGTTATAGGGCAGCAATAAGAACCCTAAGCCATTCTATTTCACTTCCTCATCACTACTGAAAACCCTAACGCCGGCTGCAGGTATTTCAATCTCTTCTCCTGCTCCTTTTCGTGCATTCTAACTGTGAAATTTTGTTCTAATTCTGTTGGATTTTGCTCTTTCTATTAAATCTCTGCAGTTGTCTGTGAAATCAAGGACCAAAAATGGCCAAGTCGAAGAATCACACAGCTCACAATCAGTCGTACAAGGCTCACAGGAATGGAATCAAGAAACCCAGGAAACACCGTCACAGCTCCACCAAAGGGGTATCTATAAATAAATCCACTTTTTATTTTATTTTATTTGCTGATGTTGTTTATTGTGAAATATATAACCTCCATTCCAATTTATTTGATACTTTTAGCTCACTTAAAATCAATTTGACTAACTTTCACAGCTAAATCGAGATATAGATTAATTTTTTTAAGAATTGAAATTTGGTTATTCGGAAGCTGTAGCAATCTTTTCATTTCAAAATGTTTGGAAAAAAAATTATAATGTTGGTACGCAAAGCAGGTGAAACATGTTGGGACTGATGAATGATGGTGTATGTGATGTCTATGTTATACAAGCCGTAGCACAAAACCAAACAAAAAGACGGGTTCTTTGAATCTCAAAGTTGAGGAGTTAGATTGATATCAGTATTAAATATTTAATGCTGAAATTAGTGATTTTTAATTAATATATTATTCGTCTAAGTTCATATAGTTTTTTTTTTTTTAAATTTATCTGAAATATGTGCTTCCGCAAGCAGACCTAGCTTGGAAGTTTTGGGTCACCCGAACCCATTAACTTTTGCTCAGAATTCTTTATGTGTTAAGAAATCAACTAAATATCTATAAATATTTCACTATGAATCCAATTTTTGTTGTATCTTAACTTGTGGTCGTGGTAGGAACCACTGTTGTCAAAGGCGTGCTTAAAGTGCTTAAGCCCTAAAGCGAGACACAAAATATGTTGAGCACTTTGCCTCGCTTACCGGGAACCGGGCGCTTCAGCGTCCATATATTCGTTATTCATGCTTATAATTATTAGTCTTACATTACACATACATATTTGTATTTTTTTCTTCATCTGTGCCTTTTTTCATCAAAGCCCATGCTTTATTTGCGCCCTACGCCTAAAGCCGAATCTGCCTCTGTCAGTGCTTCACTTCAAAGAAGCATGCCTGTTACTACACTCTTTTTGCTTTAAGCCGCATGGACCTTCTTGGCTTTTTGTCCCTTTTACTTTTAAAAACACTGGTCGATATCTACATGTAAGGATGTAAAAGCGTATCTCTTTGGATTCTAAGTTTGTTAATTTTTATGTAAATGCAGATGGATCCCAAGTTCTTGAGGAACCAGAGGTATGCTAGGAAGCACAACAACAACAAGAATGTGGACTCTGCTAATGAAGAGTAAAAGAATTTAGAGTAACAGGCCGCCTTCTGTTTATTGCTGGCACTGTATTTTGATATTGGGATCTTTATCTTGGTTGTTTTGAAGTTTTGGCAGATACTTATTCGAACTAGTATTTTATCAAGTATGGAGACCAACTTTTCCTTTTAATCAATGCCTCTTAGCAGTTCATTTTTATCATTACTCACCAATTTCTGTTCTTTATCGTGTTCGATCTTCGATCTGGATATCTTTATTTGGATGTTTTGCTTAGTTATATCACAGTGATAGAACTGCCTAATTGGCAAAAAGGGAAAATGCACTAGTTGATCATGTAGTTTATAATGATGAGTCTCTGCAGACTCGAGCTAGCTCAAGTTCTTTGAGCCTTATTAATACTATGTCAATACTGGTTGCTCGATAATTACATGCAAACATGTATTTGAGCATAGACAAAAGGTGGTACACTGATCATGTTTCATCAAATAGCTTCTGTAAATGTTAATGTGAGGCACCAATCACACAACTTCATTGTTAAGGGCTTCTTGTTCCTCTCCCATTATCGTTTTATGGTTTTAGGAAGTTTTTGTGCAGTTGCTTTCTTGTTTATCCTGGAAGTGCAGTTCCTTAATCAGATGTCATTAGCACCCATGTTGGCAACTGAGATAAGTTGCTATCTTTAAGTATTATCGTGTTTGATTCTTTCATGTGCATCATTATGGGACCAAAAATTGGGTTTTTTTATTTTGGTTTGACAGATTTTCTTCGGCTGTTGGGTGGTTCTCATGTCTATTATTGGACCAAAAGTAGTTCGTGTTCCAGTTCCAAATTTTGTCATCTCCACAATTACCACTTGAGATGTTGATCTAAACTTACGAATGCAAGTTTTGCTGAATTAGTTAATAGTACTAATGAACTTGCTTCAAGGGTCACCTTTATGTAATTTTTCAATCTACGGAATTTAATTGTAAGAAAGGCTATAACATGAGGCATGTGAAGTAATTTTTCAATCTTGCTCTTCTAACAAACCTGGCCCTGAAGATGTTAAATAATCCTCTTGCACCATGGGCAAAGCTCGTAATCCAAACATATATTACAGATTAAAGAACGAGCCACTCCTTCTGTATCCTTAAAGGCTGGCACTTCTGTAACAAAGGAAAACTATGGTCTATATAGACATTTGGGATGCTAGATGGATCCCCAATACCCCCACCCCCCACCCCCACATCTTAGAAGTTGCATAGAGGGCCCATTAAATAAAGACTCCTCAACAAAAAATGGCGATTTAATAATAACTCCACTTGGAGTTTGCCTTGGAAAAAATCTTTTTTCCACTTGAAATCGAAACTGACTCGACCCAGGTAATAAACCTGTTAGAAAATGGACAACCTGTAATTGCAGGTGGTTGATATCCATGAAGAATAAAGAACTAGTGGTCCGGCATAATTTCAGACACGGGAATGAAGTAGCTCACCTGCTGGCAAAAGGAAGCAACCAAGAAGGCCACCCTAATAAGCTCAACTGTTTTGTTATCCCTCCACCCTTTGTTGTGCCCACTGCCCAGATGCCCGCGGACAAGGATGGAGTTTCTTGTATGAAAACAGTGCTAGAAAGCAATTGTAGAACTC